AAGGTATTTGTTGACAGAGTGGGGAAGAGCTAGACTTCATCAGATTTCAACTTGCAGTAGGTGTTCCAATTTCTGAAGTCTTCCTGTGACAGTGACTACCTCCTCCCTCATTTCTTCTCCTGCTGTCTCTTCAACAGGAAACAAAAGTTAGTTTTGGCTTAGCTGCGTCAGACACCAGTTGCATGCAAATATAACCAATGTGTATAGTGTTACCTACTGTAATACAAAAAATACATAAGTGGAAATTTCACATTGCAAATATCAAATAGTGTTTAAACAGTGCATTCAGAAAGTATTCAGATCCCCTTCACTTTTTTCAAATTTGTTATGTTGCAGCCTGATACTACAGTTGCTTAACCACTTTAGGATCGCCTGCCGGAAATGTACTGCAGATGGGCAGCAGCTACAGGACCAGTAATGTACCCATACATTTGTGGTGCTTTACCAACACAGGGGGGAGCTGCGCACCCACGAGTCCCAGTAATTGGGACCCAGTGATCATGTGATCGCTATGCGATCACAATGACAACAAAGCTTTTATGAATCAATCTAATTCATTAAAGCTTTGCTTCTGTTCCTGGAGGGCTGTGATTGGCCCACAGCGCTCACATGGCACATGGGGCCAATCACAGCACCCTGTACCATGTGACCAGCTGGAACCAATCACTGTATTTTGAACTGTCATGAACTTAACCCATTGATGACAGTTCAAAGCAAGCTTTGCATTGCAGAACAGTAATATTCATTGCTCCTGCAATGCAAAGCGTAAAAAAAAATCCCTGATCACCCCCCAGAGTAGTACAATGTTACTATAGTAACATTGCACTACTCTAATGAAAGTATTTTTAAAAAATAGTAAAAAAATAAAAAAATATTTAAAATTATTAGAGAATTTTTTTTTTAACTACTTGCCACCCGCCCGCCAACAAAGTGCGAGAGAGCGGCGGTTCTGGGCAAAACGACTTAATTGTATGTCACTTTCTATTTCCAGGTGTGCGTGCGCCCCTTATGCCATCCAGGGAGAAAAGAGGGAACAAGACACTGAGTAAAAGCACTACATTTTACACTCACATGTTAGATTAGCACTTAGAACGCTTTGATCTCCCCTATTAACCCTTTGATCACCCCATGACTCAGCCAATGCCATTAGTACAGTGTCAGTATATAGAATTTTTCACTTATCACTATATTACTGCCATTTGCGACAACAGGGTCTGTAAGCTCCCAACCCAGCCAGGGACAGTTAGCATTAGATTGCCCGCACACTATCGCACTCACGCGCTATATAGTGTTTGTACAGATCAATATATTGATCATGAACAGAACTATACCTGTGCCTCCTTATTGTCCCCAAAAATGCAGTGTTAGCAGGATCAGCCCCATTCACTGCCAGCACTAGCGTTTAGCCCCTCTGCTGTTTTTCACTGAAGATTTATATGAATTGATTGCAGGTCAAAGCAATTTATGCGAACAACAATACATCGCCACCCACCAACATTCAGCTCTTGCCAGACAATGTGCATGGAAACCTATCACGGCTTCCAAATTTAAGACTTTTTTGGGCCTAACCCTCAACATCAGCATTAAAAAAAAGAATGAATTGCAGCCTTATTGGTCCACAGTCCCGATTCATTATATGCCCATGTTCTCTGCTGTTACATATACTGTATGCCCATAATGGACCAGCAACATACTGGTACATCGCTGGACTTTGAGTGGTTATGCAGCTACAGGCATCACCCTGATATCTTTTGTTTCAGCTGGCAGTCGGTGCTGGTGGTCAGCTTTCATGTAAAAACAATCCTAAAAACTAATTAGCTGCTGGACGGCTTTTAAAAGAAGTGGGAAGGGACTCCCCCCTCCCCGCAGCCTTCCAAGGTTTTCTTAGGCTCTCCCGTCCCTCCGGGGAACTCAAAAATGCAGCCAAAAGTTCCACTGCCTGACCCTTAAAGCTGACTGGGGACCGGAATGCCTCCCATCACATGTGGTATCCCCATACTCAGGATTAGAAGAATGTGTTTTTTTTCCTATTTATCTTTTTTTCCCTACTCATCTTTTCTGACTTTTTCACTAGTTTTGCATTTGGCTAGGGTCAGTGTCACTACTGGTAGCACAAGGTGATACCTGGACCCTACAGAGGTTGTACAGGCAGTCCAACTACTCCAGGATGGCACATCAATACGTGCCACTACCAGAAGGTTTGCTGTGTCTCCCAGCACAGTCTCAAGAGTCTCAAGAGCATGAAAGAGATTCCAGGAGACAGGCAGTTACTCTAGGAGAGCTGTACAGTGCCGTAGGAGTGGCCATCAGCAGGACCGGTATCTGGTACTACATCCCGCGGACGAAGCCACGAATCCCTGTGGAGAAACGCGTTGGAGAGGGGCAGTGACAAAACCACGCATCCTTACACGGCGACCGATAGTGTATGCGAGCACACCCGAGAGGCTGGTTTTCACCGCTTTAAGCGGCTATTATACAAACTGCAGATTGTTTTTAATCAATGTGAGCGCATATTGAGCACATATTAAAGTGTTTATTTTTATCAACGATAAAGCACTATGCACTTTTCTCTGTTTACATGATCCGTATGAGGAATGCTTAAAGGGCTGGATCAAGGAAAGATCTGAGGAGGGAGAGATCCATATGACCATTCAGGCTTACATAGTAGCCCTCTATCTGCAACCTTCACCTGCATCACCTCATGCTGATTGGAAGGAGAGCACACAGATATTTCATCCTTGCTGAACTCTGCACCAAGTTTGTTTTGAGTTTTTGCACAAAATTCATTGTATTTTTACCTTTTATGTATTTTCCTCATTTTTAAATTTTTATTTTTGATATTTATTTATTAATTGGATTATTTATTTAATCATCGAAGGACACAAATTTGAATAATTTTGCACAGACGTTTATTTTTTATTTTTTTTTTTTATTATCACCAATTTGGATATATATTTTTTCAATTCATTTATTCAATATTATCAACACATGTTTGGGTATTTATTGACATTACAATCATGTATGGTTACACATAAGAGATCATGCAGCTATTAGAGATTTAATGCAAATACAGTTTTTATACTATATACAGGTAATAGGTCTTGATAGAGCGCGGCATCTATATTTTCATCATTTATAACCTCTGGGATATTATGTTTCAGTCCATCCGACACCACCAGGTTGCACCTCAGACTGTCCAGCAGCTCGGTAATGCCCTGGTCCAGATTTGGGAGGAAATACCCCAGGACACCATCCGTCATCCCATTAGGAGCATGCCCTGACATTGTCAGGCATGCATACAAGCACATGGGGGCCATACAAACTACTGAGTACCATTTTGAGTTGCTGCAATGAAATTTCAGTAAAATGGACTAGCCTGCTGCATAATTTTTTCCCTTTGATTTTCAGAGTGTCTTTGAATTCAGTCCTCTGTAGGTTGATAATTTTTATCTCCATCAAACAATGGGTCATCCTTACGTTCCTAACACATTAACCGTTCCATATCAGTATAGGTATCCAGCATGAGATTTTTCCCCATTGAGATCTGATGTGTTTCAAAGTGTTCCTTTAACTTTTTGAGCAGTGCACAGTATATAAGAAAAAGTTGAACAGCACCACAGGGTAAAAATAGTTATATATGCAACTAACCAGGTGCCCCTCCCCCCCCCCCAAAAAAAAAACACCAAAATAATTAATATCTAATAGGGAGGAGTTACAACACAGTGATCCTAAAGTGTTAGTAAACCCATGACCCTGCTAAATACCTTTGCTCATCAGCAGTATATAGCAGTCTTGTGATTTCTATCAGTGTTTGGCCGAGCACTGGTTATCCTCTGAGTGTCCTATGAGGCTGCATGACCCTGACTCTCTGTCAAGACAGCGCTGATTGTCCCTGTGCTAATCGCATGCACCTTCCTCTCTCTAGCAATACATATACAGTATGTGTCAGCATAAAAGGTGGGTTTTAACGCCCAGTTGCCACACAAGTTCACGGCAACAGGAGGTTGTGTGCTGACAACCCATGGTCAAGGCTTCTGATCATGAGCCAACAGTGCAGGCTCTCAATCATGTAACCGCTGTGAGAGCCGCTAAAGAGTTAAAACAGGTAGATATGTTAGGTAATTTGTGTATTTTTATGGCCTCTTCTACATACGATTAAAGTGTTAATAAACCCAGGACCCTGCATTCGCTATATCTGGTCTCCCACAGTACACAGAACATGGAAGTGCAATTATTTTAGTAAGTATAAACTGCTAAAAACCTTTTCTCATCAGCAGTTAGATCAGTCTTGTGACTTCTATCAGTGTCCTGCAGAGCACTACTTAGGAGTAGTTTTTATACTCCCCCTGATTGTCCTATGAGGCTGCAGGACCCTTGACCCTCTGTCTGGATCTGGCCCTGTGCTGATCACATGCACTCTCCCAAGAAAAAAGAACTCTCTAGCAACACACTCCAAACTGATCATGTGCAGCTTGCCTCCAAGGCTCTCTTCTATCAGCAGATGATTTGGGGACTGCGGAAGAAGGGGAGGATCAGAGAAGACAGGATCAAACACAATGCAGGAGATTAACCCGTTAGGTTCCACAGTGAGTATAACAAGCATGCTTTACTGCATATAGACTGATTTTACTGTTGTGGGTTTAGTAACACTTTATTTCCCTAAATAGCTTCCATATATACAACACATGAGATACTAAAGAGGTGTAGTCATTTATTAACCCAAACGCTTGTTTATATAAAGAGGGATTTTTAGTCCGCATATATTGCCGTACATGTTCCAGCCTGCCAACTGGGTCGAAGTGATCACTTTTTGGCCCATCCCTAATCTTATTTGCACTGCTGTAACCCTCTGTATTACGGTGTATATATATATATATATATATATATATATATATATATATATATATATATATATATATATATATCACTAAAAGTATGGGACACCCCTCCAAATCACTGGATTCAGGTGTTCCAAACACCTCCATGGCCACAGTACAGTATATAAAATCAAGCATCTAGGCATGCATACTGCTTCTACAAACATTTGTGAAAGAATGGGTTGCTTTCAGGAGCTCAGTGAATTCAAGTGTGGTACTGTGATAGGTTGCCACCCGGGCCATAAGTGCATCCATGAGTTTTCCTTGCTACTAAATATTCCACGGTCAACAGTTAGTGGTATTAAAACAAAGTGGAAGCAACTGAGAACAACAACTCAGCCACTAAGTGGTAGGACATGTAAAATGACAGAGCGGGGTCAGCGCATGCTGAAGCACACAGTGCACAGAAGTCGCAAACTGTCTGCAGAGTCAATAGCTAAAGACCTCCAAACTGTGTGTCGCCTTCAGATTAGCACAACAATAGTGCATAGAGAGCTTCATGGAATCGGTTTCCATGGGTGAGCAGCTGCATCCAAGCCGTACATCACCAAGTGCAATGCAAAGCGTCGGATGCAGTAGTGTAAAGCATGCAGCCACGGACTCTAGAGCAGTGGAGACGTGTTCTCTGGAGTGGCGAATCACATTTCTCTGTCTGGCAATACGATGGATGTGTCTGGGTTTGGCTGTTGCCAGGAGAAGGGCACTTGCCTGACTGCATTGTGCCAAGTGTAAAGTTTGGTGGAGAGGGGATTATGCTGTGGGGGTGTTTTTCAGGGGTTGGGCTTGGCTCCTTAGTTCCAGTGAAGGGAACTCTTAAAGCGTCAGCATAGCAAGACATTTTGGACAATTTCATACTCCCAACTTTGTGGAAAGAGTTTGGGGATGGCCCCTTCCTATGCCAACATGACTGGCACCAGTGCACAAAGCAAGGTCCATAAAGACATGGATGAGTGAGTTTGGGGTGGAGGAACTTGACTGGCCTGCAGAGCCCTGATCTCAACCTGATAGAACACCTTTGGGATGAATTAGAGCGGAGACTGTGAGCCAGGCCTTCTAGTCCGACATCAGTGCCTGACCTCACAAATGCGCTTCTGGAAGAATGGTCAAACATTCCCATTGACACACTCCTACAGCTTGTGGACAGCCTTCCCAGAAGAGTTGAAGCTGTCAAACATCTAATCACATATGCACTCACATGTTCAGGTGCTACATTTACACTAATAAAAATGCTCAGTCACAGCCACACCTCTCTGGTGTCAGAGTATGTTCCTTAGAGGCTGTTCACATATTGGTACTTTGAATCGTGGGCGGCATCGCCATGAGTCTACCCGCAATTTCAGAACACACTGTTAAAATGTGAAATCGATCACTGGTGTGTTCAGGTGGCATTCATTTCAATGGCACCTGAAAACAGGGTTTGTTTTTGCCACAATTGCTGTGCGATTCTTCGAGCGACAAATCCTCTGTGATTGTGCAAAACAAAATTGCGGGGCGTGTCTCCCAAAAATCATCCTGGAACTTCTTTTGGGCGACACGCATCAAATGATTTTGTTTGTGCAATCACAGCGTGTTTGTCACATGAAAAATTGTGCCCCCATGTTTTCAGGAGCCATAAAATGAATGGCACCTGAACACACTGATGAGTGATTTCACATTTTAACAGCACGTTTTGAAATTGTGGGCAGAATCCGTCTGAAATTCAAATTGCCGATATCTAAATGGAGTCTTACTTTGCTTTCCAATTAAGTTTTTCACCATCAAGTTTCATGAAAAGGTGATTTTCTCAGTAACAAACTTCTAATTATAGGGTGACAAGAGAAAGAATGCCCTGTTGTTAGTGGCCAGAGGAAAAAAAAACATTGGTAGCAGTGGAGGGTGCACTGCTGTCAGTGGGGCCACCAAGGAGTACATCAGAGGTCAGTGGGGATCAAGGGCACACCATAGTGGTCAGTGGCGATCATTGAAGAAAAAATATTGGAAGGTGAGGGATGCGCTGCTGTCAGTGGGGGCACCAAGGAGTACATCAGAGGTCAGTGGGAGTCGAGGGCACACCATAGTGGTCAATGGCGGTCATTGGAGAAAAAAACATTGGTAGCAGTGGGAGGTGACGGCTGTCAGTGGCGGCACCAAGGAGTACATAAGAGGTCAGTAGGAGTCGAGGGCACACCATGGTGGTCACTGGGGCCCAAAAGGATACACTGGAGGACATTGGGGGGCAAAAGGGTACTGTGATAGTTAGCAGGAGCTGTTGAGGTACAGTGAGAGTCAGTTAGGGCTGATGGGGTACCACTGTGGTCAGTAGGGGCCATAGGGATACACTGGAAGTAAGTTCAGGCAGTAGGGATACAGTAATAATCATTGGGGGATGGAGGGGTACATTTCTAGTCAGTAGGAGCAGGAGAGGTACATTGGTGGTCAGTGAGGCCAGAGGGGTACATGGAGGTCAGTGGAGGCTGCAGGGGTATATTGGTGCTCAGTGGGCACTTACCTTGTAGCAGTCTATGTCACATGCCATTTCTCTCTCTGCCTCCTCCTCTCTGTAGGGACTATGCTAAGTCAGTTGGCAGGAAATCACTGTCCACAGCTTGTTTCCAGAGCAGGAGCCAAGTGCTTAAACAAGTTTTCCTGCACTTGGCTCCAGGACCTGGGATAAGGAGGACACCAGGATCTGGGACATTTGGGACATGTATAATATATCATATGCTCTATTGCTGGAAATGTGCACTGCCCTTGAACAGTATATGCAACAAAAACCTGAAATTTGATTTATCTGGTGAAGGCAGATGTTCTTTATATGTATACATCTTACATTGCTGTCAGCTGAGGGTATTGCTACTTTTGTATTCTCTATAAAGCAAAATAAATATGCAAATAGAGAATTAAATGACAAGATTAAGGCTTCATTATGCGTGTGGCTGGGGGTGCGGGGCAGCAAAAATGTGCAGTTGAGCTGCATTTTTGCCACTCATCAACCACTCCTCCCCCCCCTTAAGCTGCAAGAGGCAGCAGATGGGGGGGTGTTTACATGCCATAGTCACAACGCTTTGATTCTAATCTGTGGTAAAATTTCCCAGAATGCTACAAACTCTAGCAAATGGGGAAGCGCAGCAAGCGCCCCTGCAACTGTGTGCAATGGACATGGTTGCAGTAGCCTCTGAAAAGTGATTCGAAAATGGATCAGGCTTCAGCAGAAAGGGAGATTTAGACGCACATCTAAATCTATCCTAAGATCCCCAGAAATTGATCCAAGAGATGGGAAGAGCTGTAAGAACAATTGCACAGGCCAGAAAAACAGTCCTAGAGAGATGTAGGCTTGCATCCATCCAAAACAGTAACTTAGATTTTCTTTATATAATGTGAAGGTCAGACCTTCAATTTTGTGTCATCTTGTTGTTTATTTCAGGTACTTATATAGCTCTGTCAATTTACACAGCACTTTTATATATATATTGTACATTTACATCAGTCTCTAACCCTCAAGGGGCGTACAATCTAAGGTCCCTAACTCACATTTATCCATACACATACTAGGGCCAATTTAGAAAGGATCCAATTAACCTACCAGCATGTCTTTGGAGTGTAGGAGGAAACCGGAGTACCCGGAGGAAACACACGCAGGCACAGGTGCAAACTCCAGGCAGGTGGTGCCATGGCTGGGATTCAAACCAATGACCCTAGTACTGCCAGGGGGAAGGGCTAACCATTTAGCCACTGTGCTGCCCTATTTACTCTTTTCTTCTGTCTGCAACAAGGACACCAACAGAAATACAAAGCTTACAGGGTGCTAGTCTTCTCCTGCTCTCCTTAGAAAAAAAAAACACATTTTTCTATGTGACTGTTGCAGATTATCCCTTACTATCGGTTTGAAAAACCTTGTCATTGAGACAGAAAGAGAGGGGAATTATCTCTGAGTTTTAGATAGCACCAATACTTTAACATTAAAGCTGACTTTGATTTATTTGCTTAGGTACATAGGTCAAGGATGAAAAATGTGAGTATCCATACCAGACCAATGCCTGTGTAAGCTGTAAATCACACTAGTGGTCATAGTTCCTACAGTGAGCAGCAGTCTTCCTGGTCCAGCGCTGAGAGACTGCCCTGCTGCATAGTAACCACAGGGGGCACTTGATTGCTCAGCACTGCCACCAAGAAAGCCTAGTATTTTTTTTCAGTGAATACATGGGGGGAGATTTACTAGAACTAGAGAACTCAGAATCTAGTGCAGCTGCGAATGGCATCCAATCAGTTTCTAACTTCAGCGTGTTCAATTAAACTTTGAAAAAAGTACCCTTGAAGCTGATTGTTTTTTCTATGCAGAGCTGCACCAGATTTTGCACTCTCCAGTTTTAGTAAATCTCCCCTATGGCGTTCTCTGGATAGGCAAGTTGGACAGTGATGTCCCAATCTCCACCTTTCCAACCAGAGAATGCCTTGTATGTATTAAACAAAATGCCTAGCGAGCAACCCCCTGTGGCTACATTGCAGAGGGGCAGCTCCATGGCACAGGAACTGATGACTGGTGCTATCACTGTAGTAGCAGCAGCTACTACAGTATTTTGCAGCGAACACCTTGATCGGTGAGGTACGAGATAAGCATACCTACATAGGTTCAAGCTAGACCATTACAACTAAGCATTAAATTCATACTCAACTCAGGTAATTCAATAAATATATTTTTTTTAGATTGCTTCTTTAGGTCTAGGGAAGCACAAAAGGAAAATGTACTTACCCAATCTTCCACTCCTTCCAGCTGCTAGGCAAGTTCCTTCAGTATCTTCACCTCCACACTCTAGTGCAGGATTTCTCAACCAGGGTTCTGTAGAACCCTAGGGTTCCTCCAGAGGTTGCTAGGGGTCCTTGAGCAATTTCTGTCTCTTAGATGATTAACCACTGACACCAATTATCTATTTGGCTATCTGTAATGGAGGATTCTTTACAATGACTGCAAATGTAAGGAGCATTCTTCCTACAGACCATCACTACTAATTGTGAGCTGCAGATATAATAATTATTAGCAGGGGTCCCCTGAAGCCGAAATGTTATTGCAAAGGTTCCTCAATGTTAAAAAGGTTGAGAAAGGTTGCTCTAGTGGTATGGGGAATTACGTCATGAAGACCATAGCAGGGTCTATAGCCCTCCATTGTATGTGTTTAGGGCAAGGGACAGTCCGCTGCCAGAGCC